TTTAACATTCAGCCTTTTTTTGTTGGGTATGATGATTTATGTTAACAAACCGAATAAGAATATATATTAGAATGTTCATTTTATTCACTCTGAATCTTAAAAAAAGTGAGGTACGACCTTTTCCGTCGGGGGTCGCGTTATGGCTTATCCGTGCTTTCCATAGTATGTTCAAAGACTTTTCATTCAGTCTTTGGCGTGTTCCCTGTAGACGATTCCTTATTAACCGTTTTATATTGGTTAAAGTGTAAACTGGCATTTCGCCAAACATTTTTTTACACGGAAAAGAAAAACGAATAAAAAGTAAAAATCTCGTTACGGGCTTCTTGTGCAGAACCTTTCAATTTGCTTTATACTCGCTCAAACAGTCGACCTCGTGCCTTAATGGCATTAACTTACGGATCGAAAGTCGACAGGGTTAATTTCATTTTGAAATGAAATATAATAATTTCGACCAACGGCAATACCATTGACGATAAAAAAAAAATCATTTTTTTATTTCAATAAAACGACAGCTAAACTACCCTCCGGCATTCGTCGTAAAATCAACGCCGACAGCCGAATTGTATTATATAATAATATGACGATTGTGTCATGATGGGGGACGGGTTGGGGGGAGAGGAAAGGTCATAAATAAACGATATCGGGGGGAACTCGAAAGAGATATTATAAATCGGATTCCACCGACCGAAAATAGAAATTAACGAAATCATAATTTAACAATAATTGTGTGCAGTATACATTTTTTTGAGATCAGCTCGTTTCGCGCGCGCCATCCTCGGTGACTTATTGTCTTAGCGTCTCAGACCTGCAGTTAGGGGGTTGCGTAATGTGTGAATATGAATGGAACGAAAAGTATACAAAAAATTAAAAAAACCAAAAACAAATAAAACCGTTGGTTCAGATAAACGGCATGTGTCTGTCGCCGACATTCGTTACCAAAACGTCGTCGACCAGTCATTTCTCGTTCGGGCCGTCGACGTCGGCGGCGGCATACGGTGGCGTCGGTGGAGGCGGCGGCGGCGGCATCGGCAGCGGCGGTGGCGGTGGCGGTTACGGTGGTGGCGCAAGGTGCGGCGGCGGTCGTACCACGGAGCCAGTGAGGCGGTCCCGGTCGCAGGGCGGCCAACGCAACAAGCTGCAGAAGTGCCTGAGCACCGTGTCCTATTCGGACGACGGTCTGGCCGTGTCCAACCCGCGGTCGTTCTACACGGCTGTCGACCACCGACACAACCTACTTGCCACCAGACAGTATTGCAGTTTTGGTAGTACAAATCGCCTATAAATATAATATAATATGTGTACTTTTAAAATATCTTGTCTTCCGATTGTTTTTTATCTTTATTTTATTTTCCATATCTGAAAAAAGTATAATATTATATTTTTTTAAAGACAAAAAAAAAGTATGTTACGTGACCTACCTACTTCACGATTTTTCAATTTATTGGTTTTTTGAACTTATTTTTTTTTTTTTTTTTTGCTGTACTATGTTGTTGAACCTATACTATCATCACTACCACCACCCGACACCAATATATTATTAGTATTTAACCATTTTTTGTGTTTTGTCGTTATACGTCATCCTTGGTTACGTTGAGTAATTATACTACCTACTTATATACACTTATGTACTTCTTCTCTAAATAATAATATCATATGCGTATACATCATAGAACACTATTAATTAGAACAACATATTTTGTTCATTTTATCTCAAAATTGTTGTTGTTTTGATTTTTGATAATTTTTTTTTTTTTTTGTTATTAGTACCCTCGCCTAATAATATTATTATCACCATAGTCGACCCGTTAGGTTTAAACCCGAAGTCGTTCACTCGCCGCGCGCTTTAGCAGTAACGCAACCGTGGATCCCTCAATCCCAGAGAAAGCTCCCTCGGTCAGGACAGTTTCCATTGCCCCCTATTGTACATCCTTCGTCGTGTCGCTGTGCTTTAACGAACACCCTATACCAATTTCATAGAACCTCTAATTTTCTCTACCAGTATTACAATTAAATTATACTACCTGAAAGCAACCAGTCGAGTAGCCACACGGTATTATTAGTGTGTTGTTTACCCAACGACAATAAATAATAATTGTGTTTTCCAAAAAGCGCAATGCACAACGGTACTACTGGACACGTATACATTACTGTATGTAGGCAGCCGGACTACAACGGGGGTTATTGAAGTAATCATTTCAAATTCGAATCGCGTCCATCCGTTGGGCAAACTATTCGACCAAAGTTTTGTATAGTCGTTAACTTAGCCTGTACACACAAATCCCTTTTTGCTTTAATTATAGTACTCAAATACCACACATACACACATATTACTAGTAAATTCTCGAATTTCGCTGCTTTGAAGTCCTTTGCGAGTTATTTCGAGACTAAAGGGCCTCGCACAGACCAATATTAAAATTCCAAACAACAAAACGATAGTTATTTATTTGTCAACTAAGACAACTCGTGGCGGGTTAGATTGATAAAGAAAGGGGGTGTTTAAATGTTTTTCTTGTGCTGTCTAACGCACGTTACGATGATTAATTATTTTAAAAGTGTGTTCAATTACATGTGCGTAACAAAGTATAGTAATATGTTAAATAGGGTTGAAATGTCTCCGATTCGTATTTTTCAGTATAAACTTTCCTGATGGAATCGTTAACTGTTTATATATGTTTCGCCTCTTTTGAAATCACTGGTGCTTTAATGGCCCATTTCGGTTAAACGTTAATTAATGAATTCATTGGGTAATGAAATTTACGGGCACATGGTTATCGCGTATATCCTCATCTCGGTGCGACCGTTCCGCATAATACAACGGTATTATTGCCAAGCACTGTGCCCACCTGGGGTATAACATAGTAATTTATAATACAATTGTGTGGTGTCGCTATTTATCGATACCTAATGTAACTTATAAAGTATATATACATTTCGCATCGACCTTACACGATAAATACATTGTCCTCCATTTATAATATTGTAACGCGGGAGTTGGATTAAATAAAACTTGATAAGTTTAATATTGGCTAAAGGCTAACCCACGACTAAACAAATCTGTTTTATTAATTTATTACATTTTGTATTTTCCTCTTAATCTTATTAACATATATTATTATTTTTGACGAAGTATCCATCATTTTGTCGTGTGACAATAATCGTCATTATTGTTAAGTTGAATGAATTGAAAACTTTCTTCATGCTCATTGCTCAGGCCCCGCGCTGCTCCCACATTCACTTCCACCGTTTTTACAAGTTACTTAATGAACAAGGCGATTGTTACATCCTTGCTCGAGTTTTAAACAATAATTACACTAAGTAGGATTGCTGTCACGGGTACAGATAACATACTAGATTGCTAACTAGTGATAACAGGTGAAGCTGAAATACGCCATATCTTAGCTGTCGGGTATCGGGCACTTTATGCACGATAGGGTTATCATACTGGATCGTTAATTAACTCAAATGTTTCTGTTGAAACTATATTATCATAAAAAACAAATGATAGCTCGCCAAAAGCCCACAGCTTATTTTGGTGGAAAAAGCGGATTCGATCAACTTGATGGACAACACCAAGTTAGCAACCTATTTTGTTATCTATATCCGTGTTTTAAGTATAGCCGCGGTGATGTGTAACTACCAAAACTCAAGAATTGTGCTGTCTTATCTATGTGAAACATATTATTTTTATAGTTTTATGGTCACAACACTATCGCCTCTTGACTTCTTCTTATAATAATAATTGTGTGTACACCGTTTACTGCTTTCTTTCGTCTGGACGTCCATCCGTATACCTACAGTATTGTGTTACACACCCTTTGAGTTAAACACAATTACCATCGCCATCATAACCATTATCATCATCAGCAGCATCAGCATCATCGTCACTATCACTGTTTACCACTATGTATTATATTATACTATTATATGTCTTTGCCGCAGACCATCTCTATCTATAACATGTTTTACACTATCAATCTTTCTAGTGTGTTATATACGTCTGTAACCGTAGACTCTATTATATTATGTGTACTCACGAGTTCCTTCTTTGTCGCGTGTGTGCGCTCCATGTATTTATATTACATTCTACGATATTAACAATAATAATAATAATAATACAAACCTATCAGAAGTCGCAGAAGATCCGACTCGCTGTCGTGCCAGCTACGTCCGTCTTTGAAGATTCCCATTTATGTACCTCTATGCGTTAGTAATAATAATAATAATAAAAGGCGCTTGCCTAGGATTTTTTTTTTATCCGAACACTACTGTAAAATACTGTCCATTATACAACTCGATATTGTTGTAAAACGATCAATACCCTTTATCCGCGTAATACGATATTTTTATCATCCGTTGAACAATGTGTATCATATTATATACAGTGTACAAAAACAATATACCTATATTATAATTTAAATTATCGATACCTTTTCGAATTACATAACTCATAAAAGAAAAGCAAATGAAATCCGTTTTGCAAACGCTGTACAAATAACGTTAATAAGATAATAAGAAGTAAAAAACAAATAGTTGAATATTGCGTTTTTTCGCATTATTCTCGAAGAGAAATAAAACGAATATATATTTTTTTACCGTCACATGTACATAATGCTTGGAATGCATACACTCTTTTATATGCATGCAAATCCTTTTTCGCTGTCTATATTTTCTCTAATGCTTTGCACCGCATGTTACATGTATAATATAAAATGTAGTAAATTTATCTAAATAATACTGATCACATAATCTAATATGGCGTTGTGCACGTGCATGCATGTTACTATTAAATACTTGAAATACATTACTGGGTCGCACATTAGATATTATTATCTCGTCTTTTTATTTCTAACTGGCATAATGAAATCACATCAATTTTTTTCTTTCAAATATATATTTTATACTACATCACCTATTTCTTTTTCATTAACAAAATAAAAATACATATTTTCACGTATACTTACGGTTGTTTTTTTTTTTCTATTTTTTTCACGCGTTTTCAGACAAGTTGGACAGCTCGTTTTCTAGATCTCGAAGTTCAAGTATGTCGAGTTTAGATAATATTACCACGGAGACAATACAGTGTTTGACGTTTGGCGATTCCTACACGAAGAAATCCGGTATCTAATGTGTTTTACGAATTTTCTCCTTTTTTTAATTTTACCTGTACTAAACCCCATTATACATCCAAGTTTGCCGTCCGTCAGTTTTTTTTTTTCATTCTTTCTTTACCTCCTTTTTAATATTTTCCCCAAAGCATTCGTTGTTTTTTGTTTTACTAACTTACTATTTTTTTTTTATAGATCCGTCTACCTTCCCGACCCTTTGGATAGGCACTAGTGTGGGTTCAGTGCTCACAATAATGATCAATCTACCACCCTCCGGAGAGCCCAGAACCCCGCAATCTGTAAGCGTTGCCCCTTGTGGTTAGTATAAGTATATTTATATATATATATACACACACACACATTTCTTCTTTTTTTTTTTTGGTTTGATACGTGTACGAAATTACTCCGTGCTCACAAAAACGCTAACCTTTTTTTGTTCTGTCGAAAACGTCCTTCCCGGTTTTTTTTTTAAATATATATTTTTTTGTGCGGTCGTGCAACGATTTAGGTCACTCGATTCTCGTTAGGGTTATAATTTGTCGATTCGACTTTAAACTCGGTGACCGGACGATGACTAAAATGTATAACCGGCGAAACGTTTTGAATCCGTAGATTTACCTTCATTTATAATATTATTTAAAAAGCGGGTCCACTTTTATTTGAACAAAATCAAAAAGTATTTTTCGTAAACCGAAAAACGCGCGCCCTCTTCCTTCTTCTTTCATATCGAGGAACCACAGAGTAAATGGAAGCAGAAGGGTTACTTTCAATGTAAACAACAATTAATAATAATGTATAGCATATAACACGGTTACATTATAGTAGTGTAGCCTTAAGAAGATGGCCGCTGTGTTATTGTGTGATAAGTATCTTCACCGTGTTAACTTTCATCAGTGTCTGGGGCCTAGTTGAACTTTTCACCCGTGACCAACGGGGTTTTAATTATTCATTCAAATGATTTATATTCTGTTTACCGTATTCGTATGTGGTGTGCAGGTACAATTTTCAGACTAAAAGGCGGAGTGCTTACCACGTCGTTCTTGGACTGCAATGGCGCTTTGATACCGTACGCGTACGAAGCGTGGAGAGACGAAGGCCGAGATAAACAAAGTAAACATAAGAAGAATGCATGTAAAAAATATCTTTTGCGTCGATTTCGTTTTTAACAACTTGACTACGAAGCATTTTTTTAAACTTCAATTGCCTGCCCATGAGATCCAAAATGGGATCTCACTTTTTAAAAATCGAAAAATCTATGTGGAAACTCTTCATTTGGATTCTATCGATATATGTGTAAAACATTAGAATCAAACAACAACAAAATAAACCTTATCATTTTTTTGGAAGTTTAGGTGTATAAAAATGTCATGGCGGGAAGTAAAAGTTCGCGAGATCCCAAATAAGAGTATCTTGGCAGTCAAGTTGTTAAATTGAATTTGAACACGAATCAATAACGATAGTGTAATTTGATGTTTAAAAACGAACCGATTATCATTGTTTGATATTATTTTATAACAATAAGAAAAACCTTTTTTGTGTAACGCTCCATCAGAGACGCCTACGAAAAACCCCGGCGGACTCAGTCGCATGTCGCCCGCGCTCACCGGTAGTTCGGAGAGCGTGTCCAGCAACCCTGGAGCTGCTGCTGCCGGCTTGCCTCAACAGCAACAGTCGCAAGTGTCGTGCGACCGGCAGTTCGTCACCATTGTCAGCGAGAAACAGGCCAGAGTCGTGGCTTTACCTTCACAGAACTGCGTTTACAAACATCAAATAGCCGACGCCGACTTTGTGGTCAAGTCCGAAGTCGTATCCGTCAAAGGTAATATGCTCCAATACGGATATAGCCGTGGCACGACCGTAGGGGGGGGGGCAATTTGAGGGGGACTTAATTGTGTTTAGCACCCTTACTTTTGAAATTAGTACCCCCAACGTATTTTTTAACTTTTGTCAACTAACTAGATTCTTTCCTTGCACTAAGACGTATAACTATAAAAAGAAACTGAATAAAAAAAACATTTTTTTTTTTAACAAATATGAATTACAGACCACTCGGTAGTTGGTCACGGTAACATTGATATCGTTTGTTGAATGGTGCCAAAAATAGGACTTGTTCTATCAACAAAAACCGTGTGCTCGCCAGTGCCATTCCTTAAACTAGTATACTTTTTGTAATTCACACAAACCTCGAGGCTAGTATACAAGCTACCGAGCTAGGGATACCATAATAACTGTAAGCGTGTGAAAATGGCTCTAACCTATTTCGTAGCTGATCGTAGTTTGTCGAAACCAGTGTCATTAGTAATACTGTTTGTATACATAGTATATACATATATGCACACGAATAGTAATAGCGCCGAAAGCTTTTTATTTTAATTGTCATGTTTTCCACAGCTTCATATACGTTTTGCTCCTTTGTTACTTTTTAAATCATCCTTCGTTGCTTTCATGTTACACTTGTATATGTACTCTTTATGTACAGTAATCCATCTTGCACCCGTCTGCGTGTTTTGTACAAATACAATACCGTTCCATTTGAATAAAAGATCAAAAATCAAAGAGGTTTTTTTTTTATCAAAATACATAATGTAAATATGCGTTGGAAATAATGTATAGGCTGGCTCGTGTATTTTGCTTTAAGTTTTTGCCATCTTTAAAATGTTGAACGTTAATTTAAGTAAATACTAATAATAAATACAGCGAAACGGATTTTTATTATCCGTTTCGCAAGAAAAATCAACGTTAACTTTATTGGTATTAATACTGTCATACTAGCACTGCATCTACGGTAAGAGTGAATAAAAATGCCTCGCTGTTTCGCTTTTACTAGGTATTCGATCTGTTTGGTATTATTAATACTTGAATAATTTATGTTGATTTCTATTTTACCAAATAAATTTGTGTAACGTCATCTGAAAGAGATGTTCTGAATTCAACAGTAATTGACACTATTAATCACAAAGAGTCTTACGTTTTTTAAAGTACTACACCGTGAGTAAACATAATCTAAAAATTATACTTTTTATAAACCCCTATTTAAATGATTTAATAAAAAAACATATTATTCGCATCGGGAGAAACTAATAAAGAAAAAAAAATGTTAATAGTTTCACTTTACATCTTAGCATCACGCTCTGATATATTTTTTTGCTATACGCCAAAGTATAATATAGTAGTATTAAGTATGTGGTATGTTAGCACCTAGATATTTGCCACAAAATCACACTACCCTTGTAACTCGATACTCTATCCGTTTTTGTAATAAATTATTTAAATTGCAATAATATTATGTTCACAGATAGTGTGTGCCTGGCGTGTTACATATCTAACGGCCATATAAACATCTTCAGTTTGCCTAGTCTCAGGCTTCTAGTAGACGTGGATTTCCTGGCTCTATCCGACTTAAGGTATGCTTTATGTGTTCTACTTATTATACTTTTATATTTTGTGTACACCCATTCCTCCTTACTCGTTTATACTTGACAAATACGACGATGATTATTTTAGTGAAAATGCATAATATCAATTAACATTATATTTTCGGACAATGGTAATTACCTAGTATTTTGTCAACGCTTGTGAGTTCCATTTAAATGTAAAATATTGGCAACGGCCTATGGCGGATGTATGGCAATAAATATTAAATAAAGATAATGTTAAGAAGATGAGCCTCACATTGTCGTCGGAGCGTGAAAGAAACACGCTCTATAGGAATCGGGGCGAAAAATTTACAACAATCGATATGAGTATATTTTTTTCATCTTGTGTTATAGTAGTATACATAGAGGTTCTATCGGTTCACGTTAAAATGGCTTTACGCCATGTCAACCGCGATGAAAACGACCTTACTTGTTTCACACCCGACTGTATACGGCCAAATGTGCATAGATAACACCGTAGTCGACTGGAAATAATATCCCTTCATATTACTTACACGGTGAACACATTGTGTACATACGACGCATCAGATTTTTTTTAATTTTCCCTGGTCGACAAACAGACCTCTGAAGCAATTTTGAGTCGACCCATATAGGTCAATCGGTTTTTTCGAACTACTCGATTATCAAAGTATATTAGGCAAATATTGCATAAATTACAATTATTATGTTGAGTGTAAGTTGTTTGCAACAATCAGTTAGTAGATAATTTTCAATGATCTATTGTCTTTGTTAACTACACTTAATGTGTTTGTTTTATTGGTCAACGTCAAGGAAGGCTGTAGATTGAACGATTACGTTAAGAACTCAGATAAAGTATTGGTTGTTTAAAAAAAAACTTACGGTTCTAGACCACATCAGTTAGATAGCGTTAATAATAGTTAAACTAATATAATTGACAAATTCCATAAAAAAAAACAGAGGACATTACTAAATCTTTGGGTATGCAGCTGGTTATTCCATCTACAGTCGAGGCTACTACCGAAATCAGATTTAGTTTGACCAATAGTGACACAGTTCAAAGCTTTGTTGTGTCAACGACTGCAATTATTATACCAAACGTGTTTTCCTTGTGCCGACACGTTTTGTATACACTCAGTATTAAAAAATATACATTATTGTTATTTTGAACTCCTAAAAAAAACCCGTTTAGGTGCCAAAATAACATTTTATAAAATATCGGAAGCTTATCAGCGAAGACGACGAGGTTTATTGGTTTTTTAATATCTCTATGGTTTGTATTGTGGCCAGTTTTCAGACCCAGAAACAGGGCATAGTTGACCCAATGTTATCCATATGGGGCCAACAGATGTTTGTCAATGAAGACACTGACCAGTAAGTCATGAACCGAATCGAAGGAACGCTACACACAACACACACACTAAACATAATATACATACCGTGTACACAGTTGTCGACGAGAGTGAACTGTTAGACCTGGTGGAAATTGTATTCCATCCGAACATCGGATTTCCTTTTCAATCGATTTGGCCAAAAATAGCACGGCATTTTTATTTTCTTCCCTCGAGGACGGTAAACCTCAAATTTTCCACTCGGCGGACCTGTTGGTGTTGTCGCCATCTTGTGGACTTACCGCTTTGTTTCGTTTATTGACAGACGTACCTACTCGGTATCTATATCTTCAATTTTGAACTACTATTGAGTACTATTATATTATATTATATTGTTTATGAATAAATTATAAAAAAAAACCCGTTGTTAATACTTATTGTTTCGCCTGTTCATTAATATCGCGGGAAATTTTGTGAGTTAAAACTTTTCTGACGTTTTATGTCAAACCCGGCCTGTACGCCTCAGCTAATATATAACAGCGTATGGTAGAAACTGCATATACACCGACAAGTGGTAGTTTAAGTGCAGGGTACGCGGATATTAAGTCGCGTGTGATCGTCCGACAGCCAAGCGCAAAAGTTTTAAATCGTATCCTCCTTATCTGGGTCGCGTCGTATCCCCTTAAAACCATATAGTATGTGTTAAAGTAATCCGACGATGGTTGTCTAACAGTTGGCGCTCGACACACACACACACACACAACACAAACTGTACAGTCACACATTTGCACTTAAATCGGTTTTGATTAATCTTCTTTATTCGTATAGTATATAATATGTTAGGGTGATCCTTTCTTTATTTATTTTTGTTTGTACAGTTTCTTTATTATTTTTCAAAAACGCGAATACGCCAAATTTCCACGGAATTAATAATTCTTAGTTAGCTCAAAGAGAGTTAAACAGGAATAATAATTCTATTGGGAATTCTGTTGTTCGTCTAGGTTTTCGACATAAATGTCATAAATGACATTGAATTTTCGGGGAAATCTTGTGCAAGAGATGCAATTTAAGGGTGAATTTGCTACAGTATTATCATGGTATTACCCGATTAAGAACTATTAGTTAGAATTGCTCAATTTGTATTTCCATTTATAATAAAAGATATTTTTATAAATGTATATTTTTCATGTTTATGAGACTTTTTAATAACCGTATTATTTTTTGTTTAAATGACATCGGCGAAATAATTTATTCAACTTTTATTTAGGTTCCAATAAAATTGTATTCGGCAAAACTTTAATAAAACTCATCGATTTTAATATTTTCGGTCTTAAGCTAATGGAGTACTATGAATAAAACATATAGGTATATATCGAGTACTTTGGGGCACGCGTTCTCGTCGTTCAATTTCGTGGAAACTTGGCATACTCGCGTTTTTAAAGATAATAAAGAAATTGAGAGAGTCTCCGGTACAAAACAAATAAAAATACAAGTTTAAATAAGGACACTTTAATATAAGTATGTATATTATATACCCTAGCCCTACCTATATCCTTCGGCATGAAAACCTTACCCAGTAACGAAAACCCTGCTTCGTGGTAAACGCGCTATAATTGTGTTATTGTATTGTGATGACACGCTTAGCTTTTACACCCTTGCCTGTGTGTTATTCCTCGTCCGTACCCCTTACCCTATCACTACGTTTATTGAATGCACCACGTCGTACGCTGCACATCGGTCTCCAGAAATATTTAAATTATTTAAAGAAGAAAAAAAAATAATATATATATACAGTTTTTATTATTATGCAAAAGATCAACCGGTAGTAGAAAATTTAAATGTCAGATACCGGTGTCATTTTTCAATACAATTTTGCTTTATTCTTTATTTGTTGTTCTATGACCGCGGTGCAGCGAGTGGTTTACTTACCCCGAGCTTTCAATATTTATTTTTATTTTTATTTTTTGCATGCCCTTCCAACCTAACCGTTTTATGTTGTTATCCAACGGCTGTGAGAAATAATAGATATTTCGTTTTTGTAACAGTACCTACACCGTAAAATAAGTAAACGTAAATTTGATAAAAAATGTTTGATATAATACACGGGAACGTTATCGCGTTGCCATTCCAACGCAATCCATTATTACCCTTACACCCTTCAATTTTTTTTTTTACCATAATTTCACACTTTGTTTTTATCTCACTCACAACCCCGATCATAGTGCGATCTTCTTCTTTCGTCTGTCCGACACACACCCTTATATTTGTGTTTTGTTTCCATCTATACTATGTTTTTGTCTCTACAATATACCTTCGGCGTGTTTTATTTGATTATAACCACGTCACGCACGTCTCCGTCGTCTGGAAACTCGTTACTATTACATAATTACTACTTTGACCGGTCAAATAAATAATAATCTTCGGTTGTAATCCAAATTCGTACGAGTTCTTGGAAATCAGACGGAGACACTCTGTCATTCGCACGAACTATGTTTTTTTGAAATTTCTTATAGAAAAAGCACAAAAAAAATGTACATATCAATACAGACTAATATTGTCGAAGCGTTCCTATGTGTGTACGGAGTTGTTTTCCTTCCCTTCCAGTTCCTGACGAAATCAAGCACAAGTAATACAAAATTGTGCTAAATAAGAATGGCCGGTCTGTCACATAGTGTACGATACAAGTTGTATGAGTGTTAGAGATTGGTCGCAATTAACACACTAGATTAATACCGTTGTATATTGTTGTTGTATCATTAAACGTGTTTAACTGTGTTGTTATTATATTATAACACTACGTTCGTATACAAAGGCCATAGCCTACGGGCTTACGACTGTATATTGTCTATAAACTAAGTTGTACATCGATTATAGTCTATATAGCGTCCGTAGATTTCCGTTTTAATATTCGTATTATATTATACATATATATATATTATATTAGGTACGTTGTATACACAACTGACAAATGTATAGTGTGAATACGCCCAACATTTTTTATTTTTTTATGTTTTCCCTTTTTAGTTTTATTTATTTATTATTTTTTGTCATGTCATGTCATGTTATTATTTATTGGATTGTTTTACTCGATATTTTGCTCAATCGTGACATTCCTAACACTTTTGTTTTCGTATAGAATCGCCAAGACGTTTTGCTTTAGCAACAGAGGACACGGGTTGTTCCTGAACACGCCGTCGGAATTACAAAGGTTTTCGGTTTCCGCAGAGTTTTGGTAAGTACATGACGTGCCAGACCGTTTAAGTTCTAGTTAAATGAACTCACGTGTGCGGTGTATGTGTGTTCTAGTCAAAGTCTACCGGAAATGATGGGTGAACTTTTCCAACCGCACGAGATGCCGGAACCGCCGAAACAAAGTTTCTTTATCGGCCTCTTCGGCGGCGGATCAAGATCTATCGACCGCGAAGAACTATGTACGCACACTTATGGTTTTAAACACGTTATTTAGTAATATTCTTACCGTGGGTCAATTGAATGCAGTCGCTTGAACCTATTAAAAACTACTGAACAGTCTTTTCACAGTAACATCTATCAAATCCTGATTCAGGAACCAGAAATTTGTCCATAGTTGGGTGTACTAGGTGGTACTTCTCGGGCTTATTGTAGTTTTTAGGCCAGCAGATTTTATTAGACGGCTTTTGTTTATTTTTAAAAATAACCATGATACCGGGAGAAAGCTATTTGATAACCTAGAGCTTTAATATGCTTAGCCGTGTTTTGTTAGGTTAGGTTAGGCCTTTCGTTTGCTCTTCTGTCAAATATTGCAGCAGCACCATTTGACCAGCGCATATACTTGCGTTCTACATCGATTCAGCTTTTTCATTTTTGGCGTAGATACTTCACCATTCTGCCCGTAGTGACGATTTTCATTAGTGAAAGGTTCATTATTTACTGAAAACGTAATTGAATATACACATACATATTGACAATCAAATGATTAATCTATTGTATTTAATATGTGGTCTATTTATCTTAATGATGATATTTACCTTGGGGATTATTTCCGTTAAAAAAAAAACTAAACTCTACAGTTTAAACTTAAAAAAAAAAGCGATTTGATATTTTCTATTCTGTATTTAATTGCATATTTTTCTTATTTCATCGTTTACAGTTGGTGAATCCAGCAGCGGTAAAGCACCGAAATTGGTGGCCAAGCACATTCCGGGTCCTTCGGCGCAGTTAGACGCTATGGGAAGCCGAGCTAGCACGGCGGCCAGCGAGATATCTCGAGCCCATCAGTTGGCCTTAGAGCGTGGAGAGAAACTTAGCAATCTAGAAGACAGGACTGCCAGAATGATGACTGAAGCAGATCAGTTCTCTAGTAACGCCAGGGAGCTGCTGCTAAAGAACAAGGACAAACGCTGGTATCAGCTGTAGGAGGTTTCCGCCGTTTCTCAGTTTTCTCACTCTTATTATCGTATTATTATACACATACACGTCATTTGTGTACATAAAAAAAACTAACTTTAACGTTCTTCCAAAATATATTAATAATAACAATAATATAATTTTCTAACTACGATCAGTTGGTATTTGGCTTTTCAAAAAATTACTAAATTTGCGGTCAACGTCTTTTTTTCTTCTTTTACCTAAGTTATAATATATTGAAATGATATCAGAATACCGGTGCCATGGTTTCAGAACACAATTCCCTTTGGTATTTTGGTAAATATTGTATAGATACCACAATATAATATAATATAGACGCCTATTATCGTTAAATTATTCCCGTTAAAAAGGGGAAAATTGATACATTTAGTACTTATAAAATATTTATATATATATATATAAACACATATTTATATTTGTTGTTCGTTATTGAGTAGGAATATTTTTCTGTTATATTTAAAACAATACTTTTTAAACTATTATACAATTATAGGTAGGTTAAAACGATAAGTAGTACTCGGAAAGTGTATAACGTTAAGTTACACATAATAATAACAAATAAAGAAAATTCATAAAACGGGCTGTGGTTTTAGGAATAAGGTAGTATTATTATATTATATCTAATTATTATCGTGGTAATTAGTATAAATTAACTCATGTTAGAACTAGACACGGTTGTATTAATATTATGTGTAAAATAATCTAAAATAATTATAAAACAAAATTAACGTACATCACTGTCTCTCTTTCACAAAAAAAAAAAATAGATGCTATAAAATTAATAACCTGGCGAGCGTATTCGAGCGCAATTTATATAATTTTACAATCACTTACAGAGTATTTAAAATGATCACGAATCAGTAATTTTTTTCTGTAAATTAATTGAATTTAAAGAGCATAAAATCATTGTTAAATAATATGATCAAAACTAGTTTAATTTTTTTAGATGGTAAATTTTTCAAGTTAAACAGTGTTTAACGATCTACCTTTTAAATTAATATGCGAATCAAGTAAATACTCAAGTATTTTTAGGAAGTTACTCTCCAAAACTGTCGCTTGTTGTTATTTTTTTTAATTGATCGCCGAAGTTTAATTTTAGTCAATTATTATATTAAAGATAATCTTTGGCACGGGTTCAACTAAAAAAAAAAAAACAAACCGTTTAAAAACAAAATTACTGTCTTAAGAAATTTTAAAAAACTGAAAATATAATTAATGTGTTTGTGTGAGTAGAGGAGTAAACTCATCAAGTATGATGCGATTTGTGCCTTAAAGTATATAAGATAGTTTGCAGTACTGTATTATGTGATAATTTTAATTCTAATAATACAGATTCTAGTATAGAATATATAACCAAACCTTAACGTATATTGAAAAAAAATATGTTTTTGACTTGTTTCTAGTTTTTATTTTATTTTATTAATTCTTCTTCTACTTATTATAATAGTATTATAAACGATAAAACTATACACATTATGTATAATATTATACGCTTGGAAACTGAAGAATATTAGTAGGACCCTTTTTGATGGTCCAAAGCCTAAAAAATAACAATAAATGTTGTTCGTTGGCTTTACACGTCTCACTACCAAACTCTTTTCCGAGATGAATTCGCCAAAAAAAATACCCATCCCTTCTCTCTGTATATTCAAGTAGTACTAAACTACCTTTAAAATTAAACAGGATACACTGTTAAAAAAAATAGTTTTTTGAAGAGGAAGAGGAGGAGGAGGAGGAAACTTGCTTGAATATTATACAAAATAATAAGTATATTTCATTAAGTAATATGATTTTTTGTTTTGTTTTGTCTACAATTATATTTTTTTATGTATGTGTGTATAAATTGTTGTTTCAATCGAGACGTCCTGTGCTTATAATAGGCGTTATGTATAGCTTAGGATGTATGTACATTTTTACGAACACTAATATCCAATACGCATTAACAATTTTACATACTAAAACTTCTTCTTAGGCCTTAATTAATTAATTATTATTATTTGTATTATATGGACTGTTCACTGTTGTTCTAAACGCATTGACCTATACAAACAAACAAAACTCACATACATGTTGTATTATTAAGTTGCTATCGTTTTACGTTATACCTATAGTGATTCTTAAAATTATAATTTTTAATTTTAACAAAACTTATGTGTACAAGGTAAGTTATTGTACGCGTTCGTCTATTGTTGTTTTCGCGCTTGTTCCAAACGTTAAAATACAAATTTGCTTTTTCAAAATAAACGACAATGGCAGACAACCCTTTTCAAAAGCCATCTTGTCTGGTGTGAAACGGTTGTAAGCATATTATGTGTATATGCACAATTTGCGGGGGGCTTAGGTGGGCTAGTACCACCCTTTTTAAAACTAGCCCTCCAAAATGGTTAACATTTTTTATATTAAGTTACACGGGATGTGGGCTTTATAAATGTTTTCGGTGTTCAAGCCCCCTCATTTTATGCCCCTGGTACTAAGAATTATGCTTTGTGCGCGAAACGAGCATAAACAATAACGAACGGGGACAATGAATTGCTTACCAAATAATGTGATATGAAATTATTAATATTTTAATGTATTATAAGAATATATATACGATATTATATAGTATGAGATCCACTGGTTATGCATCGTTATGTTGACACTTTTTTTGTAATTATTATTATTATTATTATTATTATTATAATTGTGTTATAACTGATGACATCGTTGGGGTTAATAAATATTCTTATTAATTATAGTGCGATTATCGCGTTTAGGTTAACAATATTTAGGTATACACAATATACCAATTAAGCATAATATTAGGATTAACCCAACGGAGAATCACGAACATTTTAGGTGTTCGATATCTCTTTCATTAAATTCATCATTTGTCTGTAAAGTTATATACATTTCTTTTTTGCACGCCTAAGTGATACTGCCGACCGCCTCTTCCCCTCCACGACGTTATTTTGGGAATTTTCTTTAAAAAACGCTCCCTGGCTTTTTGGTATACTAAAATGTTGTATAAAAAAAAAAAAGACAATAAAAACAGGAGTATATGAGAAAGCCATATTTTTAGAATGCTCTTTTGTGTGTTATTTATTTTTTGAGCAAACCAGTCTTCCTTAGCATACAAATACTGAGGGGTTTATCGTTTCGGTCGTTTGTTTTATTAGAATAATTGTACTTTAACAACAATAACTATAATAATATTATGTCGACGAAGGATATCGGATTAAAATTGCGTACTTAGGCGTGTTGTTAAGTAATTTAAATTAAAACATCGAGCGTTGCAACACTTACTTTATATAATATATTATATACATATATTATTATAAATAATATTATATGATATTCTTGTAAATTGTCTTGGATTTGAATGTATAATATAATATATGAATGCGAAAGTAAAATATTATTATTATTATTATTAATATTACTATTGCAGTCACTACACTACTAGGACGGATACAAATAAATCACGATGAACCCTTTTTATTTCTAAACAGATCCTTAAGGCTCTCAGCCTTTTTATTGTCATTCGAAATCGCATAGGATTTATTATTAAATATTTATAAATTGCTATAAATATTGTGTACTGTAAAACGAAAAATCAAATTTTAACTCAATGTTAGATGGCAAAATGTATAATATTTTATGGAAAATATGTATTATGTAAAAACAAAGAGAATATGTTAAGTAGGTATCTATTATTATAAAAAAATAAGTGTATTTAGTTTATTATTTTTAGTATAAATGTATAATGATAATTATTGAAAAATGTTATAGCTTCTAAAATGATTGTTATTTTTTTTTCTCGAAAAAATGTAATTGCATTTTGCATTAATTTCGTTCGCTAAGAATATTCAATATTATTATTGTAATGTTAGTATACTATTATAGGTATAAACCTAATATAATTTTATCGACTACCGTTAAAATATTCTATTGTTTGTATAATAAAAATGCAGAACTATTATTTTAGTTATGTTTTTTTCTTTCATACTTCGTTATTAGCTCTTAATGTTTGGTATTGGATTTTGTGAGCAAATCATATAATGTAGATCTAATTTGGTTCTCTTTGCAAACAAAACTTCAAATATTGTTGTACAGTTTAAATTATAAGCAGAGAGTATATACTATAATGTTTTATAGAAAGAAAAATGCATAATAGATGCTCCAATGTGGGATTACAAAAAAGAAAAATAATTTAAAATTGAATGCGAGCAATTTGCAGGGTGCTTTAGAATAATAATTAAATTTTAGGTCGGTCGTCTATGTCTTATGAGTTATGTAAAATACTCTAAATTTAATACAACAATGCTATCAAAATATCTGAAACTATAACATCTATGGTTAAATATACATTTTCTTAGTAGTAACCGTGACATTTCAAAAGCACAAAAGTTAAATGAAATATAAATATAATATGGAATGTATTGTATTTCTTAAAAGGAAGAATATTTGCAATATATATAATCATTTTAGTGAATTATTAATAACTTTGTAAAAACTATTGTACATGTACCGATTAAATATGTTTAACGCCCAACTGTTTGTAGAAGTAGACTACATTACTGACTTACTATCAATTGTAGTAGTTTCAAACTCTAAATAGGGCGGCAATATACTCTTAATGTATAAACGAAACAATATAAGTTTTTAACTTCAACGCACAGTTAAGAAGTTTTTAATTTGATTTAATTTCTTTTATATAATACTGTATTAATGATATAATGTATTTTAGTTTTATGTTTTATGGATGAATGAGTGTCATGGACTCATTGATTAAGGAGTAAGGTATAGGCAATTTTTTCGTAATATCTTAATTAAGTGCTTTAAACTATAGCGTTTGATTAACATTACTGTACTTATAGTAATCAGGATTATTTGTTGGTTATTACCTCTGATTGTGTAATATGATGTTTTCTATCAGACTATCGCAGTATTTTATACAAAAAAATTTACAATTGATTTAATTTCTCAACCCTGCTTTGCGCTAGACACAGATTCGCAGTTGATTTACCAAATTTCTACAATAGACACTCAGAAGAGGATTTTATCCATGTAGTAGCGTTTTTATTTATTTTTTATATCAATATTCAATAATTACTAATTTTTAATAAAAACCATTTTTAAAAAAAGAAAAAAAATTAATTTTTACGAATGTCTTATCAGAAAATAAAAATAAAAGCTATTACCTACACAAGCTATTTTCTTTGTACTGTAAAAAGTTTGTAATTCTTCCACGAATACAAACCGCAACATTTCTAAAATCGCTGGAACCATTTATTGGAATGCGCATCAATTAATTAGATGACGTAGTCAGATGATACTTATAAGGTAGAAAACTGAAAATGTTCACTATTTATCCTCAGAGTTAAAAAATAATGGAGTTTTGGTTTGGCTAAACCACCCCAAACCATTGTGTAGACAATGGCGTAACTAAAGGTGTACAGGGAAGTTCGAATCCCTATCGTTACACAGCTCTTTATCATAACTTCTTTAAAAATACAAATTTGAATTATGTATTTTGAAATCTTAACACCCGAGGGCGAACAACAACGCTATTAAGAGTGTCTTCGAGATCGTAATAAGTAGTACGGTTTTTTAATAATTTATTTTCAACGTGACTATTTGGTATACAAATGTTGGAACCGTTATCACGCGGTCGTCGGTCGAAGTAATATAATAACTATTGTGTAGGTCTACGGGCATAACAATTTTTTTTTTGGGAGGAACTGAAGTCTGAAATGAATAAATTGTTATTCTGTCACTCTTGTACACAGATATATTATAATATACTTAGGTAACCAGGTGGATACGAGAGGCGAAACGCGAACACGCGAGAAACATATCGAGTACGAATTATTATTTTTTTTTTTATCTTTTTGTATGTAAACAAAAAATAGAAAAAAATTTTCAGATCACACGACACGGTGCGGCCGTTGGTTTGCGCCTTTGTTGTTGGCGGCTAGTATTTATTGTTGTCACGCTATCTTCTTCCATCCACATGTGTCGCTTTTATGGTATTCTTTATTCTCCTTCTCGCCTTGATATTAAGGTATTATTATTATTAATACTTGAGATTACTTAACACGCAATCAATCGGGAGTCTGTGGTGGTACAATAGCCGATAAAAAAAAGGGGTGTTTCATTGGATACTACTGTGTAGCAACTTCACAGCAGAATAATAAATCCAAATTTTTTTAAAAATTTACATAAAAAACTATGTACAATCGTTATAATTAAAAACCGAAAACGTTAAAATAGTGACATAAAAAAAACAAGTATACTTTAAAGCAGTACCTACAGTAGGGAGTTGGCAGGGTGGAGGGCAGCCCCATTACTGTAGTGGAGATAATCGTTCCAATATAGGAACTCGCCCCTAAATCAAGTTATTAATTCATAAAGCTATAAATTGTCAACACAATTTTTTGTCAGAACAAGAAAAAAACAATACACATAAAAACAAATGTATGATTAGCATACTGGCAACTTAGTAAATTTCATGTTTTCAAAAATAGAACTAGTAAACAATGCTATCCGTAATGTTCAGTGCCCTAACCCTTCTCCATTTTACATTTAAATACATTTCGCGTGCTTGCGAAACCAGCCATTGTAGAGTGACTAGATCACAGTTCAATACTTTTTTATATGAGTTTTGGATAGGAAATCCAGATAAGCAAAACAGGACTGTTATCCTGTTTTGACGATTTATCCTGATAAATTATCCGGAGTTTTAATATTTAGCTTCGATGCGGAGCTGAGAAGTTGTTAGTTTTATAATAATGTTTTTTTCTCTTTCTGTGTGTAACTGATAACTTTTTTCCCGTGAACTGATTTCTTCGAGTAGCATGTTTATTTTGTAATATTGATCCGAAATCGTATGCAATTGGTATTTTGGTGGGTCGAAAGTTTAAAAAGTCCACTCTTTCACCCCTAAACCCGAAAAAGGCACATCCTTAACTCGAATTCAAAACAATGAAAATTTAATTCAAAAATCCTAATAATCCGCCAATCCCGAAATCTGTAAACTTCAGAAGTCCAAGAAAAATAAATTACCATATGTTCATCTCCATGGAGTTTTAAAATTGCGGAAAAAATTTTCTCCCTGTGAAGAAAACATTCGTTTGGTTATTTTAAGACAGGGTTACGCTTAATTAAGATTCGATAACGTTTTTAACTTGATTCGACCACATTTGCCAAAGTTACGTTAAAATCGAAAAAGTGATTATTATCTGTCCTCCTACTTTTAAGCAATTAAGTATCTGCCGAACATGATTTCTAATCGATTGATATGCTACTCGAGCAAATCGGTCTCGAGATAATATAACGCATAGACACAACAATGCCAAAAAAAAACCAGTAACATACGATGTGTATTAAAAAGACTATTTCAATAGGCATAATATCCATGTCGAATAATACTATTTACCGGATACCTATCTATACCTACTACTGCTCACACACTGACGCGCGACACTCTCCGGTTTCGTTTAAATAATTGTATTATGCGACCCTGCCAGCCAAAAGGAACATACCTGAAATGTTCGCTTTAACCCTGCGCCATCGTTGTTCTCTCTATTGTCGGTTAGGTGACAAAAGCCACAACGATGACGTGGGTGGTTTTTTCAAGAAAGAAAAAATAACATAATACACGAGTGCCGCAGCCTACCAGGAGGTGTCTGAGGGCGGCAGCAGGGGACACGTCTGGTCGTCGTCAATACCGTTTGTTATTATCGACATTGTGCG